CAGCACACACACACAGATACACGAGCTTATCGAAAACTTCAATTGTTCCACCTGCCAGACTGAGTGCAGGTATAGGCTCCTGCCAATCTTGTAACAGTACTTTGTACTTATGTGGCGCAAAGCACATACCATACTTACAGACACTGATCGCCAAATGATTAAGTGCGACTTGGATAGCTTGCATGCTATCGCAAACACAGTAAGACGATATCGTCTGCATACTCAAGGTCGAGAAGTGTTTCTCCAGGAAGCAGACTTACACCGCCACCATTCATACATATACGTCGGAACTGGCTCCAGATGACAAAGTTTAAGAGAAATGGAGAGATTGAGTAACCATGTCTAAACTCACTAACTTATAACCCATTTTTTAAATTAACTAGGAAGTTATCGAAACAGATATTTGATGTAGGAAAAAGTATTTGAAATATGTGTAATTTTTAGGTATACGGAATTCATAGATTAATAGCTAAATTGCGCCCACTGTCTTGTTTGTGCTTAGTTCATCTGCACTAGGCTGCACTTTAGGCTGAAGTGTTGTTTCCTAGGTTTTAAGTGATACATGTTGGCGACAAGATTCTATTATGTACTCGTCAAATTATTGCTATGTACTGGTCGAGAATTTACTAGTCCTGACTCAAGAAGGCGGAAATCAGAAGACCACTAGGTTTGCGATGATACTTCTATTTTCCAAACACAAGGAGAAGCAATAAGTGGTATCACACCAAAGTATCACACAAGATTGTGTGAGCGAAACATATATGACAAGTGTGTGAACAAATCAATAGACAGTCTTAACATGAATGGCTAATTATAATGGAGTATCGATCCATATATACGTATCGAAATATAGCAGACATGTCAACAACCATACATATAATATGGATATATGTCACCAAGCAACGGACTGTCAACAAACACTCATATTATATATAATATAAGGGGAATATACATTGTTAAAAGAGACAGGTTCATCAAGGTGAAATGGTCACATACTAAGAAAGCGACAGAAAGAGAGACCACCATATATATATATATATATATATATATATATATATATATATATATATATATATATCAGATTCATATACTTTGAGATGCTAAATTAGAAAAGATGAAAGGTAGTCTACTAGGAAGCTTAGTCAAAGTATGATGCTTTGTGTACATTTGATTTCGTTCAAGAGTGATTTTGTTCCAAGTCAGCATTGATCGGAAGAACCATTTAGAAATCGCTGAGCACAGGATAAATGTTTCATGCTACTTTAGTACTCGTGAGAAGCAGTGTTAATCCATGAATTTACAAGGAATAGAAGCCAATGTTAACAGATTTCAAAATAAGTATTTTTTATTTTATTTTTGATTACAGCTTGATTCCACACTGTATTTTTGGCACTAGTATGGAATTTTCAGTATGTGATACCGGTAGCCCAAATTTTGCAGGCCGACTATAGATATCAGGTGTAGGTTGGCAGGGGATCGAACCTCGGACCATATGCATAGTCGGCGAGAATCCTAACCGCTGTGCTATTGATAAGGTTTATCAGTAGTATATATAAAGAAATATTCAACGTCATAATAACAACAAGTAGCACGGAGAAAGATCTGGTATCAGAGAAATCAAATGATACAGCGTTTCGGAGATACATGAGAGACGTGACAAGAACCCAAAGAAACACAGTGTGAAGGAAGGTCACAAGTAGTACTGTACGGAAGATCTGTGTAGGTGGCGTGTTGAAGATATGGTTTACAAAATTTCGCCATACAGAGATACCGACTTGCAAATAAACATTCCTTAGCCAAGTCTTTCATCTGCTACCGTTACAGTAGGTTACCGCAATGGTGGAGGCGGCTTCTAGTCGATAACAAATAGATAATAATTATTATCTGTCTATCTGCTACAGGACTGGACTACGTCAACTCCTAACTTAGTGATAGGGAGTGAAGTGATAGAACATGTTGACCACTTCACCTATTTGGGAAGTTGTATCAACACCAACGGACTGATTGGCGACGAAATCTCACCACGGATCCAAAAAGCTCGAGCTGCTTCCTCTGACTTACACCACCTCTGGCGTAGGCGTGACATTCGGCTATCAACCAAGGGACGTGTGTACTGTTCAGAAGTTCTCTCCGTCCTTCTCTATGGCTCTGAAACATGGCCAATACCCGTTGAAGACATGAGAAGGTTGACTGCTTTCGATCATAGATGTCTGCGATCCCTGTCTCACGTTAGGTGGTATAATAAGGTAAGTAGTAATGTTGACGTTAGGCGTAGAGTGTTGGACAAGCAGGGAAAATCAATCGACGAGGCTATAAAGTTACATAGATTGAGATGGCTAGGTCGGTCACGTGGTGCGCATGTCTAACCATCGCCTCCCCCGACGACAAGCATTACTAGCTGATATAAATAGGTGCAGGTTTGGAAAGAGTAAGTGTTGGGTGGCCAAACAAAAACATGGCCTCATCAATCCATGAAATCCTTGACAGTTAAACTGAGTCAGGTAGGGAGGGAGATGCAGACTTCCGGGTTGGGGCCCTCGGGACTGACTCTAGGAATCAATGGCTGGAGACAATAGGTGAGTGACATGGCTCAAAGTGATCATTGTCAATGACCAGCGCAGATGTATTCAGTCTCTGTAATCTTTCATATTCCTCTCTACCATTACCCATTCTGTTTCACTCTTATACTTGTCAAACTCTGTTGATTCTCTTCACTCATCTTCTTGTCTACTTCTGTGTGGTATTTGGAACGTGGGAACTCGAACAGTTGCACTTCGGTGAGAAGTTCTATGTTGAATCCAGACAGACAGACAGACAGACAGATAATAATAATAAAAGTGTAAACGACAGAAGACAGGGACCCAGCAACAGATCGTTTATTGAGAAAACCAACAGATGTTTATAGATTTTTATGTACATTATTACTAGGCATTATTGTTAGCAGAGAAGCAACGTCTTCTGATTGATTGTTTTCTTGCTGAAAGTTATTCTGTACTGTTGTGACTGTTTCTTAGAAAGTTAAGTCGTATATCTGGGAATCGTATTTACACACGTCAAGTTTGCTGTGTTTGGTTGATGAGTTCCTCCAGGTTAAGCTTTGTTTTTTTGTTTTTTCTCATGACTTCAATTCTGGACGTAAAGATTGACGTGAACTGTTTTCTACAATTCTGGCTTGTTCGCAGACAGCCCTCAGCACAATAGTACACTATACAGGGTTCCTTATTATCACACAAACGGACTTCTAATAAATCATTTATGTACAGTCGAATAACTGACTTTTCCGTAATTGAAACCGGACATCTACGTTCAAAGTGCACTAGACATATTCATTCATTCATTCACCTTGCCATAGCCAGAGTAAAGTTATTACCGTAATTTTCACACTTATTAAGTCATTTCAACTAATTCTTAGTCATCGCCTTCTAGACGATACCTCACATTATAGGAGGCATACAGTTTTTAGAGCAAATTTAACAGCATCTTAATGGTCTCTATAAATTCTTTGTTAAGTTTAAATAGGGTTCTATAGCATCTCTTGAAAATAATTCGCCGAAAATAAAATTCTCCCACTGTTTATTTCGCCTTTTCCCCAAAGTCAAAAAGTCAGTTTATCACCTGACCTTCATAGAATATTGATCTTCTCCAGGTATCATTTGAGTCGTATCAGGTGGTTTCGCACATTAGGTGTCAATCGTAGCACAGCTTAGTATGTACTCTACATTGTGGAATTAGCATCGGCAGTCTCAGAACTGGTTTAAAAACACTGACTGACCACTTGTCCTATATTAAACCTTATTCGTCAACAGTGCATCGGTAGCACAACGGTGGAATGTTTACCAACCATGCCTCATGTGGTTCAGGGTTCAATTCCTGGCCACCGACGCACTCCTTTACCTCGCTAAGCCAGTTATCAGACTGGTAAAGAGGGAGAGTTAGCCATGAGGCTAGCAACCCCATCCCGTAAAAATAAGCGCCACTGCTTTGATTAGACACTGGTAACTAGTGTGATGTGTCTAGTCCTTTCTTCGGTGCAGACTGAATTCCATCAGTCAGTTTTGCAATGTGACCACCATTCTTGGTAGGCTGCCATCACGGTGCACATTGATTTGATTATATCAGATGGTTGGAGGCAATCGGCCACAGGAAGCCTTGCTTGATCTCTAGGTTTGATGCTAGTTGGGACTCAACAGTCAGTCAGAAAGGCGTATCTGCAACCTTGAAAGAACTCCAAGCTACTTGGAATAGTGGCCACATTGCAAACCTGACCGATAGAATTCAGTCTGTACCAAAGAAAGGACTAGACGTGCGTCGGTGGCACAGTGGTTAGGACTCTCGCCGACCATGCACATGGTCCGGGGTTCGAGCCCACGCCGACGCACACCTGATATCTATGGTCGGCCTGCGAATTTTGGGCTACCGATATCCACGCTGAAAATTCCACACTTGTACCAAAAATACAGTGTGGAGTCAAGCTGTAACCAAAAATAAAAAAATAAAAAATAAATAAAATAATAGTGTCCAATCAAAATACCCACTACAGTCCTACAGGAGGTCAATCGAGAGCCAGCTCGAATAGCTCTAAGTTGGTAACGTCTCTGACTTCAGCGTTCACTGGGTGACGTGGAAAAGGATCTCAGAGGGGACATGAATTCCTTCAAGGTAGCAGATACGCCTTGCTGCCAAGTGTGTGCCAACTAGCATGAAACCTAGGTCCCAGCAAGGCTAGCTGTGATCGATTGCCTCCAACCATCTAATATCATCAAACGCCTTTACTATTGAAACTTCAAGCCTCTAGTTTGAAGTCCTGTTTTCCACTGGGAACGTAAATGAATACAAATAATAACAAGCCTCCTATAACGTACATTTGAATTTGCAGGGCTCTCTTGTAACTACTGAGAAAAGTCTGGAAAGGAAGTGAAACGGATATCAAATGCATTCTACTTTCGTCTTCTTTAACATCTCTCCAGCTGTTTTCAGCTAATGATGAAAAAGAGGTATATATTTAAAGATAAAGACATTCAATTTAACATTTTTTTTACTTCAAATTATTCAAAGTCAAATAAATATCTTTCTTTTGGAGTCTTCCTTTGAGTCATGAATTTCATAAATAGATAATTTTATAGTTTCTCGGTGTCTGTTCATTGTTAGAATTAGTATTGAACTGATTGCGTTCAACATTCAATATCTCTTGTTTTAATGAATTTTTATTCCAATTCCATTTTGAGTTAATATTTAAAATACGTATATTCGATGTGATAGTTTGAGTGGATGTGTTCATTTCAATATTTTTTGTACTAACATTACGTATACTACTGTTTTGTAAATGAGTAGCCTGATTATTTAACACATAAGTAGTCATCGGAAGATCAAGATTTGACTGTACATTATTATTATTATTACTGTTGCTTAGGTCACTGCAATGATACTGTGATACTTTGTTTACATCAGGCATCATTTCGATGGAGTCTTCATGAATCATCTGGGATCCATTGTGTTCAACAAATGATTTATCGCATTTACGACGATGTGTTTGTTTTCTACAGCAATGATACATCTTTTTGTGCATATAACATAAGAAGCGTTTAATATATTGAATAAATGCGTTGAAGTATGCATAGAGGCTAGTTCTGAATTCTTCTATACCAAATAATAGAATGATGGCTCTGATGTGTACTTCAAAGAAATTGGAATAACGTAGTGCAGTTTCATAACTTTCCAAATAAACTTCATATGGTTTAAGCGATTCTATAATTTGTGAAATTTTATTGAACAAATCTTCTTCTTCTGCATGATTTTCCATATCATCTGGTCCATTTACAGGTGGTGGATAACTACGGTAGGTTTCCCGACCTGAAACGGAAATAGAAAGATTATGCAATATAATGTGGAGGGTGTTACTTACGGAGATATAAGTAGTATATTGGAAAAGACAGTGCTAGTAGTGGAAAAGTCAATAGAGAAGAAAATCAATGCGGTAATAATACTGAGAGATGAGTCTGAGCAGCAAAAGACGGCGAAAAACACAATAAGCTCATTAGATGATCGGTGTTACTATCAGGAAAGATTGAAATTATTGTAAGGTGTCTTGTCCCAGTGAAGTTATGTACTTGTCACTATTGTTCTCGTCATTTCGAAATCATAAGCTGATTGGCTTACTGGTCTGTAGATGATGACCAATGCAGTAGTCTGTTTGCTAAGCTCTAACTGGAAGCCATCAACTCAATGTAACTTCATTGCTTAACTAATCGGTAGTTACACTGGTTACGAAATTATCCTGTCTGTCTGTCTCTGTCTGGATTCAACATAGAACTTCGCACCGAAGTGCACCAGTTCGAGTTCCCATGTTCCAAATAGCACACAGAGGTAGACAAGAAGATGAGTGAAGAGAATCAATAGAGTTTGACAAGTATAAGAGTGAAACAGAATGGGTAATGGTAGAGAGGAATATGAAAGATAACAGAGACTGAATACATCTGCGCTGGCCATTGACAACGATCACTTTGAGCCATGTCACTCACCTATTGTCTCCAGCCATTGATTCCTAGAGTCAGTCCCGAGGGCCCCAACCCGGAAGTCTGCATCTCCCTCCCTACCTGACTCAGTTTAACTGTCAAGGATTTCATGGATTGATGAGGCCATGTTTTTGTTTGGCCACCCAACACTTACTCTTTTCCAACCTGCACCTATATCAGCTAGTAATGCCCGTCGGGCGGGGGAGGCGATGTTTAGGCATGCGCACCACGTGACTGACCTAGCCATCTCAATCTATGTAACTTTATAGCCTCGTCGATTGATTTTCCCTGTTTGTCCAACACTCTACGCCTAACGTCAACATTACTACTTACCTTATTATACCACCTAACGTGAGACAGGGATCGCAGATATCTATGATCGAAAGCAGTCAACCTTCTCATGTCTTCAACGGGTATTGGCCATGTTTCAGAGCCATAGAGAGGGACGGAGAGAACTTCTGAACAGTACACACGTCCCTTGGTTGATAGCCGAATGTCACGCCTACGCCAGAGGTGGTGTAAGTCAGAGGAAGCAGCTCGAGCTTTTCGGATCCACCGACTTACACCTTTGTTTCAAGAGTTGGTTTTCAGAAATTCGATTGATTTCAGGTTCTGTTAAGAAGTGACCTCTATGCAAACTTAGATGTACTAAACACTTATTGCGACTGTGACTGACTGCTAGATGAAATCGCCAAGAGTTTTAGTGGGAAGTCATCAACAGCGGAGTACACCAAGACAGGCGTATGGGCAGATATTTACGGATGACATTGGCTGACAGCCTCACTATATATCAAGAATTAGCCAAATGGGCAAGAAGGTCCCTTTGTAGCGCAAATGTGATGAGTCCGATTCTTGATGAGATGGTGAGTACATGCTACTGAAGAGTCCCAAACAAGGACGAAACAAATGTCAAGTCTTCCACGGTTCTCAATGGTTCTCTAACCTAAAACCAGTTCTCAAGTATTGGTTTGTAGGGATTTGATTGAATGGTTACAGGATTTTATCATGAGCTGATGACATCTGTTGGTTAGATAAACATTGGAAAACCAACTGGGTGTACTAGACAGTTGTCTCGTCCTAGTTTGGGACTCTTCATCAGTAATCATTCACTGAGGGTCAAACCCAGTGGCTTCTCTGGTTACAAGGTGAACTAGCTCGTAGACCATTAAGCCCCTGGAATCCGATCTAATGACCAACCTATGGATTCCAGCAACTGCTAATTAGCGACATAGCGCGACAACTAGCCACTGTCTTCGCTGGCGAGTATTTTTCCCTCACACTCCACCTGCTCCACCCTGCAGTTCGTGATCAAATTTCACATGCATCTTAAGTTGGTATGGAATTGATCATGGTTCCACTTGCTTCATACAGTTTCGAATCTTGGAGATAACGTCAGTGAAGAAGTACATAACGCTGTGGAACAATAAGATAATTCATACCGCTTAGTATGAGCCAATTTTTTATGTGCTCTTGGCATATGAATGGTCATTGTTCGACCCGTTTACCTTGACCCCCAGATGAATGTAGGTTGAGAAAGCTTATAAAATTGTTGATGTTCAGTATTCTATCATAGGTAATAAAATTAGTGTTCATTGAATAGTTCCAACGACAGAAGACAAGGGCCAGGCAGCACATCGTTTATTGACAAAATCAACAGATATTTATAGATTTTTAGGCGAAGTTAAACTTTCGACACCACTAACTACCAATCAGCGAATTATCCAATGAGGTTCACGAACGTAGTTCAATGTTGTATAGCGCTTGATTCATTTCTAATGCGTGACCTTACAAGGCTACAGTTGCAATTCGAGGAGGTTAGTGTTTTCCAGTATTTCCTGGATTTGAGTTGCTCCGGAAAGAGCGAATTTGTTTGTGTGGTTGTATCAATACTTTAAAAAGCTATACCAAATCAACTGATGGGTTTGTTCATCTGGAGAGGGTAAGCAGATAATTTTAATATTTCGAAGGAACTTACTTTCACTAGGTCGCATCTCTCCCTAACCCAGATATTGTATATCTGCAACTAATGGGTGTTGAAATAGGCTGTGAGAGCAGCAGCTGCCGAGATGGAGAGTAGCCATGTCTCAACAGTTCAGTGGTACCAGCATTGCAGTGACATCGCATCATGGAAAATGGAGAAAATCACTTGTTTGCTAGGTGTGGAAGACGTTATCGTGCGTGTCGATGAGACAGTGCTGGTAAAAAGAAATACAACCGTGGTCGCCAGCGAGCGAACAATATTTGGGTAATAGGTTTGTATGACACCTCCCTCCGAAAGGGATTCGTCGAAAGGATAGCAGATGGAAGAGCATTGACAGTCCCATGCTAAACTGGGAGATGTTTCTCTCACATGTCCGAGAAAGATATCCCATGTAACTTTTTCATTCTCTATTTTGTGCTTTTTTTCTATAAATATACATTTCCATTCATCATATATGCCTCTTTAATGTAATTGGTTCGTTCAAGGTCGTTTGCTGATTGGTTGTTAGTGGTGTCGAAAGTTTAACTTTGCCGATTTTTAATAGCGTTATTGTTAGCAGAGAAGCATCGTCTTCTGATTAGTCGTTTTCCTGCTCAAGGTTATTCTGTACTGCTTGTGACCGTTTCTCAGAAATTTAAGGTATATATATCTGTGAATCGCCCACGCAAAATTGTCTGCTGTGTTTGGTTGGCGAATTCCTCAAGGTTATGCTTTGTTATTGTTTTCTCTCCTGAACCCAATTCGGAGCGTAAACTTGAAAGTAAATTGTTGTGTACAACTTTGGCTTGCCTTGCCGACAGCTATCACCAAATAGTTTTAAGATGTAAAGTCTATGGCAATAAAAAATTTAGTCTACAATTTCTGGAATCCATTGTCTTAAGACTGTAACACCTTCAACATCCATCAGGTGGTGAGCTGGTATTTTTCTTTGAACCTTGTTTATTCAATCTTTTGCGTAAGTGAGGTTTAGGAGTGCATCAACTGGAAATGAAATCTCAACCACCTGTTTAGTTGATGATCATTATACCAATGAGTGACAAACGCATGGAGTTATAACTTTGACCTTGATATTCAAATTATTCATCATAATGAAAGGATAGAATCAGTGAAAAAGGAATAGTGATCTATTTTGAATAAAGTGATCATACGCTTAGTTCCCCGTCCTAGTTGCAGGCTGTTTATTCACACGTGAAACTTTAGTTGTAAACTGTTTTCGATTTCTTTATGTCTTAATACGGTACAGCAGGTTGAAGGGAAGGACACGTACTCATCGAAGACACTGCCAATTAATTCTTCTATGTTATGAATTGGAAGATGTTGGAATTCATAGGCGGCTGGCCATTGAATTGGCAAGTCCCAGTGGTTTAGTGGTCTATGAGCTAGCTTGCCTTATAACCAGAAGATCCTGGGTTCAATGGTTATGTAACTGATGTTAGCTCATGATGAAATCCTCCAGACAATCAAACAAAATCTCCGCAAACCAATACTTGAAAAATAATATATATATATGCAAATGAAAAGCAACAAGTTGGCGATAGAAGAAGTATCAAAGATAGGACTTCAGGTGAACACAGCGAAAACAGAGGTAGGTGATGGAGATTCCAGGCCAGCAGTCACAGCAGCAACAACAACAACAGACAACAATCTCTTTTAACTACCTGGGAAGCATCGTTTCAACTGCAGGCGAACGGAACTGATGAGGATATCAAAGCACTGAGGATCGGGATAGCAAGACAAGCATTCATTACTCTCAAGTCTGTGTGGAGGTGAACAGCACTCAGCATCAAAAATAAGATCCGGATTTTCAACTCCAATGTGAAGTCAGTCAGTGCTACTCACCATATGGATCAGAGACTTGGCGCCGCGTCATGAAGAGCACCTCAAACAAACTACAGACCTTCGTTAACAGCTGTCTTCGCTCACTACTACTACTCAAGATCAGATGGCTGGCCAGAAAAGATCACTGACAGGGATCTCCAGCAATGAATGGACCAACGCAGCAGGAAGCAACTGTACAACAATCATGCAGGAAGAAATGGAAGTGGATTGGATTGGCCATACTCTGAGAAAACAAACCATCAAGTGGCATCACTAGACAAGCCATCGCTCGAGTGGAAGCCGAACGGGAAGCGGCGAGTTGGTTGTCAAAGGGAGACTTGGAGGAGGTCATGTGAAGAGCAGATGAAAGCATGTGGGCAGACTTGGAGCCAGGTGAAAACTCTAGCAGAGAACCATATGCGCAATGGAGACGCACAGCTGAAGCCCTATGTTCCTCTTGGAATTAAAGGAAATAATAATAATAATTAAAAATAAATTTCACCAAGAAGTAGAAATAAACCAATGCCTTTTTTAAACTTACTTATAAACAGAAAATATTTCGTCAAATAATATAAACATCTTGGTAATAAAAATACTCCATGAATAAAACAAAATAAAATAAAAACACGAATAATTTGCAGACTCCATTGAACATTGAATAATTGTGATACATCACTGTGATTCGTCATCTCCTCCTGTAGATGAGATGAAAGTGACTGTGGCAGCTCCTGTCCTTCCTCATCCTCCTCTTCCTCCCCATGATGTTTGCATCTTTTGACGTCAGTTTCTACAGAGTAAACCTTCTGATCCTCGTCTTCGTGTATATAATTTTCTATACGTTTCACTAATCGTTTTACTTTACAACGATATAGTATATAACCAACAAGTCCACTTGACAGACATATTAAACACGGTAATATATCACCGCATATATGATCAAATAATGGCCATATATAATATAAAAATGTTGGACTTAGCACCGATGTCATCGCGAAATCACATTTATAAAGATTATGTACAATTCTTCCATGTAATATTAGCATTTCCAGTTGAGAGATATCAAATGTCCATATAAATTGACAATTAAGAGTGATTATAATTACAGAAATAAAGATAAGTGTGTTTTGTATAACTTGTTTTCTTTGTCGTTGTTTTAATTCACCCGCGTTCAATTGTTTCAATGGATTATTATCATTGTTATTATTATTATTATAGGTTAGTTTCAATGTTTCAATAGTCAATAAAATAAATAAACCTGAATGTAAATGTTTTAACAGGCTGTAAAACATTGGTAATATTTGACAATAAAAACGTCCTAAAAATTGCAGAACAATAACTAAGCGTATTTCATGGTATGATTCAACAAGAAAATCGATTGCACTTAACATTAGATCAAATTGGTCTAATAGAATAATATAAATTAAATATAGTAACCATGGTAACTGACGTCGTGATATACGTTGTGTTATATTATTGATTAATAGACAGTTTAGCAATGATCCAGAGAGGATTAAAGGAATAATTAAAACGTTGGTTAATTGGCTCAGTGATACACGATTATTCTCTAAGATAGCTAATGTTTCACCTTCAATTGATGGCGACTGAATCAATCCACGAATATTCAGCGGGCCAAGAAATGTACCACTGAGAGTTTGTGTTTCACTAACAAATTTCACTGATTTAAAATTGGTTATATTCTGCATAGATGTTTGATCGATAAAATGACTTGGATATTTTGTGAATCCACTCTGGACAGATGAAGCTAAAAGTGAGGGAAAAAAAGTAGAAAATCAGAATTAAAACAGCAATAATCCAATAGCACAAAAAAAGAATTGCATAGAAGCACTACTCAAGGAGGCAAGACAGCCAGGACTCATTGCAACACTCTCAGCTTAAGGAAAATAGAAGAACGATATCTCATGGACATCTTTCAAAAGAATGGATGGATGTCCATGGAATTTCATTAAAAGGTATGTACCCACAAGCCAATCTACCGAGTCAAAGGCCCCCAAGGAAAGCACGAAGAAAATTGCCCTACCATATATATAGAGGACATCTCAGAAATCACCATAAGACTCTTAAAACCTTTAGGAATTGACTTCGCGCACAAACCAACAGAATCACTTCCCTCAGCCAGTCAGCTCTGTTTCAACCAAAAGACGCTTCCAAGATAAGTGAAGGCAGTAACCCCTTTCACATTTCTCTCGTTGACAGAGTTTGGTTAATCTTCATCACCCCCGTCTTCTCTATGTCCATTAGGAGTCCTGTCTTCGCTGTCAGCTAGTCTCTTCAGCCAGTTTGCACGTTTTCGCCTTCAAGTCTTCAACTTTGTGTGACATTAAACATAAACCATCCAACCACGAAATCCAGACCTTCTAGAGTCAATTCAGTGTACTCCTATCTTCTCGTTTTCCAAGCCCAGTCTGACGCACAATTATGAATATCATCCGCAGTGATAGTAGACAGACAGCCTTGTCTCACTTCTGTATTCACTTTGAACGCCTCGCCGAGTTCTCCTCTGTGGATCACCTGACATATGACACTGTCATCTATCTGTTAGATAAGGTTGATAAACAAATTTGGAGTAAACTATGATGGCTATAACCGATACAAAAGTCAGTGTCAAGGAAGACTTCTAACCTATTGACTCACAACATATCACAAGTTTATTTATAAGAATACCGTATTCATTGAGATTATCAATTATAAATTAGACGTGAACATAAAAACAATCAATATCCTATTGATTGCATGCATGATTGCAATGAACACAAATGAGATAAATAAAATCCAACATAACCGAATTCCAGCGGGGCGTTCAAAATCAAATTCAGTCATTCTTAGTATTCTGTTCATTTACTAATCAAGAAAATAAAAATACTTCTGTATTTCCCAATAAATGAAAAAGACTAAACGATATTGTTGCTGTTTTTTTTTCGCCCACACTTCGCTATTCAAAATACCGCTGATAATTTCTGTCAGAGTAATATTAAACCAGAATTTGAACAATTTCAACTTATGTGTATAAGAACTGGTTCACAGTTTTTTCTGTATGCCGTCAATGAATTGGTAGAGATAGGGCTAGTTAGCTAACCGTGGAAATTGTTAATCATAAAAGGTTTGATTGTGACAGTTCTCCTGGCGGCGGTTTGTTGAATTCTAGGTCAATTCCATTTGTATTCAAAATTACTTCCGATAAAAGATGCATTTAGTGGCTTTTGGTATTTTTGGTGATTAATTGTGAAAAATTTTAACTGATTAAAATTGCCCGTTAAACACTTTTCAAAAGAATGTTTACTGAACAAAGAGTGTTCACATTTTCGATGTGAACCTGCTCTTCATCATCAGGTTCACAGATATATATATATATCCATCCATTCATAATAGTGAATGAATGAATGAATTAGTGTTATTAACAACGTCATTAATTTAAGAACAATTATTTCCCTTTATGAATTTAGATAAAGCAATAAGAAGAAGACGTAATTTGTCTGAATCGTGTGTGTAATGTGCATATTTGCGCTACACACTTTGCGAACAATCTGATCCATCCATCCATCACACACGCACTTGTCATAGGAATGGGTATATTTGAAATTAATAAAGAGTTAAGAGGTGAGAAAATAGACAAGTTAGATCAAGTTAAAAGGATATATTCAAGGTCAAAATAACAATGAATAATACTAAACTGAATATCAAAGGTGATAGTACATCTACCCTGGATGTGGTGGTATCAAAACAAAGTTTACCAAGGAAGGTTTAATGTGATGACGAATTGTTGCTTTGATCGCATAAAGGTGGTTTAAACTTTCTAATTGCCAGCTAGCTAGGGCTTTCACAAACTTTAGGATACGTCCCAAACACCTGGACAGGACAGTATCTTTATTACCACAGTTTCTGACCTGTTCGGTAGCATTAGTGAGCGAGGTGCCTCTTCGGTAGAATCCAACAAATATGCACTGAAGACACACTTGATGAAGAAGAAAGATACAAACCTGACGCAAACTCTGGTTGATAACAATTATCCAGAAAAGAGTTCATCAGGAGATATAAAGTAGTCAGTGGAACGCCAAAAGCTACTCTACAACTCGCCTCTAAAAAAGATGTGTACATCAAGCTACTCTATATGGGGCATCATAGAAGCTTGATAACTAGACAAAAATTGAACGTTGCTATTATTAATAATAATAATAATTTGCTTTATTCCAAAAACAGTACTAATGATACAGCAAGGAATTTTCAGCATTCAGTACAATATTGCATCTAATTTACTCAAAAATGACAAAAAAAATAAAAATACACATTACATAATAGTAGTAAAACGATTGTTATAGCAGCTACATAGCAAAATACTGTATGCCATACGGAGAAAAATATGCATAAAGTACAAAATTGTAGCAATAATAGTAATACCAACTAAAATAAAATAACGGAGTAATAATTAAACGATAGAAAGTGTGACACCATAAAATACAGAAAGATGAACGATGAAATGGTCAATTCACTGTGCTAATTACATAGTAACTTGTCAGTTTCACGTCTAACAGAGTCTTCGTCACATAAAGTACGGGCTAAATAGGGTATTGTAGAATTTCTATACTTAGTGGTACGAGCGTATAACTTCCTATATTGACTTCTCGTCCTACCTGATGAGATACAAGGGGACAGGTGTGAATAAAGGGGGTTCAGAGGGTCTGACAGTATAGCCTTTGCCCATTTCGTACAGGAATTTATATGTTTCTCGACTATAGTGTTAGCGAGCTCATGCAGTGGCAGACCACAAGCTCTACTCACAGCATTTAATACTCTTCGTAATATGATATAATCTTTTTTGAGAAGCCCAGGAAAGATTAATGGAGAGCAATAGAGTACAATAGGTAAAATACAGGAATTTAAAAATTGCAAAACTAAAGGTTGGTTAATACCTGATTGTCTTAACTTTTTTTTAATGTAGAAGGTAAGATAAAACATTTTCTTAGAGATAGATAAGATGTGGGATGACCATGAAAGGTCAGAGGAAAGAACTAATCCAAGGTATTTAATGCTTGACTTGATTTCAATTTCCGTGCCATCTATGCTACAGGCATCATGCGAACTAACTAGTTCAAGTAAGAAAGACTTTTTGTGCAGTTAATATCATAGTAATTGAGAATGTGAAGCCAATATATCCCTCCATCTAAGCCCTTTGAACATGAGAAAAATGATGTCACATCCCACTGTATTTACCAATTTGAATGTACGTGTGGATACACATACATAGGGAGGACTCATCGATTTCTGCAAATGAGTAAAGGTTGGCGGCTTCAGAGCATATTCCTAAATGACTCCAGAAACAAATGGAATCTTCAGAACCCATTAATGGTGAGAAAAGGAGACCTAGCTCTTCTATTGCGAAACATATTATAGAGATAGGACATAAAATTGACGTTAACAGATTTTTGAAACCTATCTATAAAACGTGTTTGAGGGATGGCGTATCCTAAATTTTGTGGAAACCCTAGCTGGCAGTTAGAAATTTCAAACCATCTCTATGCGTTCAAAAACAATTCTTTATCACATTAAACCTTCCTTGGTAAATTTGGTTTCGATACTGTAGCAGATGTACTATGTTACCTCTGTCATTTGTTTTAGTGATGTTCATTGTTATTTGACCCTCAGTATGTCCTGCTTTTAACTTGACCTAATAAAATAAATAATAATTTTTCCTTCATGTTGCCAGTGGAACATAGGGCTCTAAGCTAGAGGCTTGAAGTTTCTGTAGCAGTATTTAGTTTTTACAGGATTGCGTTGCTAGCCCCGTGCCCAACCTTTCCTCTTTACCAGTATTATTTCTGGTTTAGCGAGGTAAAGGAGTGCGTCGGCCGGGGATCGAACCCCGGACCATGTACATGGTCGGCGAGCGTCCTAACCGCTGTGCCACCGACGCACAGAATTCGCAGGCCGACCATTGATATCAGGTGTGCGTCGGCGAGGGCTCGAACCCCGGACCATGTGCATGGTCGGCGAGAGTCCTAACCACTGTGCCACAGACGCACCGAACCAGGGAGTACTGGACAGCTGCTGTTTCATCCTAGTTTGGGAATCATCTCCAGTACGCACCCACTAGGATTCGAACCCACGACCTTCCGGTTACAAGTCACGCTCGTATACCATTCAGCCACTGGGACCCAACTTGACCTAACTTGTCTATTTTCTCACCTCTTAACTTTTTACTAATTTCATATATATTCATTCCTATGACAAGTCCGTGTATGATGGATCAGATTGTTCGAAATGTGTTGCACAAATATGCAGATTACACACACGATTCAGACAAATTACGTCTTCTTCTTATTGCTTTATCTAAACGTCATTAATATTGTTTAAATAACATCGAATCAATAAAATAATGTCAATGGATTACAGTCCAACAGCATCAACATAACAATAAACTGAATGTAAGACGCAGGAATTAGAAAAGATCATAATAAAAATCTATGAATTTATAGCCTCCACTGAAGACCGATCAGGGCAGTAATAGTAGCTCGCTGGACTTTCTTCTTCTCCATACAGAGCACCGGTGGTCTCAGGCGAATCGCGATTACCTCTGCTGTTTGGAATATGCAGTACATGGATTTTTTTCGTAGTTTATTTGGTACCCGATAGATGATAGAGAAGGACTCTTTAATGCTGGCTGCTTTGTGGTCGGTTTGAACCAGGTGGTCTAATATCGAACCACTACCTATAATCTCCTTATTACACTTAGTAATTTTATGAATTTGA